ACACACACACACAGACACACACACACACACACACACACATTTATTTATTTATTTATTTTTTCCGGAATTTTCAGGAAAGTCCACTTTCATCTCTGCACAAACTAGCCCAGATTGTCGCCTCACTAACAGGGGACAGTACAGCTAACACACTTTTGTTTTGTTTGCTTGTTTCTCATCTCCCTTTGACAATAAATGATCCCAGCAAATAGGGGGACTGCGTAATACACAAGTGCAGAAGAAAAAAATGCTTTTTAAGGATGATTTTGGAGTGTCAGGGGTTGTAGTATGGGTGTAGTGTACCCGGGTGTTATTCTCAGAAAATTACAGTAGTTAATGTTTTGGGAACACTGTGGTAACATTTTCATGGTCTTTACTGTGTGAATCATCGGCTAGCTTCTTAGACAGTGAGACATCTTAATCCACATGATCTCACAGTTGAGGCCGGTGTCCTGGCTGTTTGCTCAACACATCCGTTTAGTTTCTCTGTTTTCATTCTTAACTCAGTCAGACCAAACATTTAGACGGCACTGGGGTGGCAGCTCGCTCACCCTGACTTGATCTGTTGAGCAAGGCATTCACCCCACCCCTTCAGCTCAATAGGTGCGTCACTGTTGACACACCCAATTCACACAGACATTTCTCTTAGCATTCCCGCATGTGTGATGTGAGTCTCTGTGTGGTGTGCAATTGCAACACAAATAAACAGCTGAGTGTGAGTTTAATTTCCTTTTGAAGGCTTATGAGAATAATAAATTACACCTTCCAGAGCTGAAAAGAATAAATGGTTCTTCACATTCCATTTGAACAGTACACTTGTGACATTTTGAGTTTGAGTTGTTGGATCTAGATGCCACCTCTTTGTGATTTAAGTCATTGTTAGTTTACACTCCTCACTTCATTTTGAGGAGTTTATTTTGCCAGGTTAGCATCAGTTCTGACACAAATCTCTCAACCGACACAGCCAAATCAAAGCAAACAATCACACAGGTCATTCAGCATTTACCATACTTCGAAATAAACACGTAGTTGTGTTTGGTCTTTCCTGTCTTAAACGGTTCAAGGTAGTCCAGAGAACTGAGGAACATTAATTTATTCATCTCTATTATAAGTAAGAAATGCAATATGTGATGGCATAGGGCCAGCCCCACCAGCGAGACCCTCTGCAGACACTGCCGGAAGCGTGACACGTTCCAGGGCTTCTGAATCAACCACGTGGTAAATTCACTCTCATGGGAACCACACTGAAGTGTGCTTTTCAGCAAAAAAAAAAGAAAAAAACCCACAAAAAAGATATCTGAAATACAGTATGTGACGCGCCATAGCAAAATGAGTCAGGTAGACTCTGAGATGCAAATCAGAAATGGTTCAACTTGACCCCCGTTCACACGGCAACATTTGGTCTGACGCTGCGCCGAAACAGAGCCAGTCGAGCGTTCACACGTGCACATTTGCTCCGACGTAGCTCCACTAAAGAGCTTATACCGGACCAAATTTGATCCACCTCAGGGAGGTGGTTTAAAAATTTGCTCCAGAGCAAATGCTCGTTTGCGACGCTACGCCGGAACAAATGTGCACGTGTGAATGCAGCTGGGTTAAATTAGCTCCAGAGCAAATGCTCGCTTGCGGGGGAGTGGCCTCGCTACGCTCGCTACCAGATGCACGGAATCCGACCCCGGTCGACAGTGACGAGGGGACCAGCGACACAGACGAAGCCCGGCCGTGCACCCCCGTTCCCGGTAAAAGTGTCGGCGATTTAAGTGGTGAAGACAGCGCTCATGATCAAGAAGATAATCGAGCCCGACCCGACCGGGCCTGAGGATATTAAAGCCCGACCCGGCGGAGCCCGATTTGCAGGCCCGAGCCCGAAGCAAACCCGACATTTCATATTTTATTTGTG